AAACGAAGCACCACTTTCATGCCGTCTCAGTCCGAAGTTGCTGCATCCACATCCGACGCCATACGAGACACGCCGAGCTCCTTCTCCAATGTCTGTCTGTGCACGGAGTGGAGGACGCAACTGAGTGATGCGTGTCGCATGGAGCAGCATTTCTGGTGCAGAGACAGGCCACTTTGGTGTCAAACATCAGCACAGGAGTAAAGGGTTTGCGGCAGATGAGTTGGAAGGGTCGAGTCGCAGCAATTTGCAGCAGGAGAATCGGGTGGACGTTATGGTGTCGGTTAGAATGTTTGCATTGTTGTTTGACGAAGTGAGGTAGTGCCGCTGTCACGGTTCAAGGTTTTGCTGTTTGCCAAACTGCCAACTGTACTTCTATTTGAAAACAAAGACTGTACAAAAGCTGAGATTATGCAGATCTTGACAGTGAGTGCTCCAACTAACGTGGGTATGTGGAAAGTGGTTTTGGTGGGAGGTGGGTGAGGAATAAGGCAAGAGATGAAGTATGCTTATGAGAGGCGACAGTAAAGGCAGGAGAAATGGGGACGACAAATCGAAAGCCTCGTTCGTGGACACGAATGTGTGAGTGCATCAGAACTGGGAAGATGGGGAGGCACTGGGTTGGGAGCATAACATGACCCTCACAATGCGCATCCACAGTACCAATAATTGAGGAAATCCTAGCAAAACACGCCGACCACACACCTTCTGCTGCTGCTATGATTGCCCTCCTTCTGTGCTCCACTTCATGCGTCCTCAAACATAGTCTCCTGCACCCTTAACTCTGTAGCTTTACTAAATCCTTGCTACCACAATTCCCGTGCCACACCTCAAAGGGCCCAAAGTGTCACCCACATAACTGCAAGGCAAAGCAGCGTTATGGCCAGTAATGGAAACACCACAGCTGTTGCCTCTGGACCATCCACGAAAGCCCTTAGGAGGACTTTTGAGTTGTACTTGAGCACATTCAGCGGTGCTCACCGTTTGTTGATTGGCTGGATTGGAGTGGATTTTAGAAATGTCTTGCGATCGCTCATCACATGGAAAGACTTCAGTTTATTTAGGTTATGGTTAGACTCGGCTTCATGGAACCCTCGGTAGGTCAGATTGGTTCTGTAGGCGTTGAGATTTGAAGAACTTATTTGACGCAGCTAATGTCACATTGTTATATTTATAGGAGGAAACACGTGCCTCAGATCAGAAACAAGATGTTTCGAATAGTACGGCTGGTGCAGAGCAGAACCCCGGTGATTTGAACGAAATAAGTAACTTGAGTCAGAATCCAGGCAATGTGAATGAAGCAAGTGGCTCGGGAGAGAATCAAGATGACTGGAATGCTGCACGTCCCATTGAATGGACGCGCGTAAACGACATCAAATGGGCGGATTGGTACCTCTGCAGGCTGCTCTTTACTAAACGCAAGCAACTCTCTTTGGATCTTGGCATTCCTGCGCTGCAATATTACCTGGATTATGAGAAATATTTTCAAGAATTGGAAATGGAAAAGTTTGCTGCAGAATTTAAGCAAGATATACGCTGCCTTATTATCACGCCATTTGACTACAAACGGATATTGAGCCACACGATGACGCACTACCTTTGTCATGTGCCTGTACTAAAGTCCGCTGCCCCCATGCGTCTTAAGCTGGATGTATCATCAGGCGTTCCTAACTTTTCACACATCTGGGAGCAATATTTGGAGGAAGTGGGTGGCACCTTAGTGGACAGCTATGAATACGAGGTAGAAATTGGAGACAAGCAAAATCATCTCATGCCTGAATATGACTGTGCTATTTTCCATGGAGATACATGTAGACCCGGTGATGGTTGCTTACACTTGTGGGAACTTTTCCATGACATTTCTCGTGAGCAAGTTTTTGCCATCACAGGAGCAAAGGCGCAGGACAGTCGTTCAACCTCAAATTTGGACTTCATAAGGTTAATGTTCACGAATATTGACGGTTTCCGAATTAAGTTGCCCCTCTCTCTTCATTCAACCTGGCGAATATATTGCTGCTCGAATAGAATGCAAATGGCCAGTAATTACATGGAGATAATACGCTGGGCCTGCCTTGAAATCATTCGAAGTGTTAATAATTTGCCATCACATGCAGTAGATGTACCAGTATATTTATAATAACCACATCTTTGCATTGCTAATTGAATGCAACTGTGCTTGTTATGCTCTATGATACCAAAGTGAAATAGTTTGCACTATTTCTCTCCACACACCACATTTGTTCTTCTCGTCTCAACCGAAACACCTCTTTATTCTACGTAAGCAGAGGCACTTCTAATGCTGTGATGCAAGTTTGATGTAGCGAATGTGGGACTTTGCACCGGCACTAGAACCAATTTTGAACATCTGAATGTAGTGTGATGCATCATGTTGGACGCAGTGAGCCCTCAACTTGACTCAAGTTAGCCCCAAAGTATGTTGGTTTCCCTACTAGAAACGTAGTTATGCGCAGAGGGATTAGCCATGAGTCAGTCGTAGACAACGAGGCAAATTTATCCTTACGCCTCGTCTTCGGTGACACTCCCAGAGCCAGTTAGTTTGTGCATCAAGCAGCGTGTTAAAGTTGCAGCGCACATAAAAGCCGCTGGATTGTGATTTTCCTTAAATGCATCGCTCCACCGCCCCAACATTTAATCATTTGAAGCACATCTCGCAGTTTTGGATTGAAGCGAAAGCAAGACAACTACTAAGTTAGCAGATGGAGGCTCCCTCACTGACGCCTTCAGCAGACATGACCACTGTGTCAGCAAGTTGTTCTAGCAGAGAATCTCATGTGTTGGGCTTTGCAATAAGCCTTCATTAAAGGTGGCATTTAATTACAATTTACTGTTATTTACTTCAAATCGTTTCGTAGCACCTGGTGTGCATTTGTGAGGATGCGCCATCCAGCAAGTGGAAATGGTGGATTGGATTGACATGTAATTGGCTATTTTGCTATACGGCTTTCCACATCCGTTCACGTGATTTGCCCACTCCCATGGACTTGAGCACACTGGTCTGATTCATTTTTCGCCTCCCTTCCCTTCTTGTGGTCATACATGGTGAATGATATCGCCACTCTAATCGCCTGTGCAGCCCCACGTGCCCCCAAACGACCATATTTCCACTGGCGTGCGCTCAACATCAGCTTTCTCTGAGCGGCACAACATCGTAGATTTAACTTTGGAGTGGTGGCATCTCAGCACAAACGGAATTGCTCAGAGGCTGATTAGGTGAACATGAACAAATGCGTGTCTTAACTATGCTTATTCGTGCTCAGATGAACATTGTCTTTGACGTCATATCAAAAGGAGTAGAGGGTGCTGTTACTATTCGACTGTAGGCTATCTTAGCCCTAATGTTTGGAAAGGCAGCAGCAGCAGCAGCAGAAGTAAGGCTCATCGACATACTTAATCGAGAATTCTGTTTCATCATAAAGCCGCAGATATCATACGGTCGTGTTTATTAACGTTGGATTACGAAGCTTTACTTTCTGAAAAATAGGCAGATAAAATCAAACGAATGATCTCTCTCT